AGACATCGAGGTGGGGCAGGTGCAGGTGAAGGCCTGTACAGTGCCTACGACAGCAGTGATGGACGGCACCTGTACAGCAACGAGGGCGGCAACGGCAACCATCGAGCGCAGTCGCCCAAGTCCTCCACCACCTGGAACAGCTCCAGTGAAGATCAGTCCTTCTATTCGGACCAGCAACAACAGCATCAGCATCAACATCATCAGCTGAAGCAGATTGACCCGCCCAGCCAGTACAATCATCAAAACGGAGCTTCCAAGTCCTCTCACCTTTTTCCTCCCTCAAATGGCGTCGGTGGCGGCTTTGGCTCCCGCCAGTCCTCTGGCCGAATGACCACTGGCTCATCTTCGGGCGGCAAGTCGACGACCTACCTGCCCTACAACGACTACTACCTCGACCGACGTCTACGAGGTCAGCACCACCTCCTCTACAACGGCAACTCCAGCTCGGGAGGTGGTGGTCCGCCGACGTACTCTGACTTTAGCGGCTACTCCACCAGCTACCACCACCGCCGCAACTTTCGCCGTCGCCGCACCGGAGTGGAGCACCGACCGACGGGCGTCGCCAAGTGGCTCTTTGTGGTGGGGGCGCTGGCCAACGTGGCGGCCACCATCTGGGGCTCGGGCGTGTACCTGCACCTGGCCAGCAAGAGCCTGGAGATCGGGGAGACCATTCAGGGTAAGTGGAGGGGGGGATCAATGAATCAATTCTATTCTAACAACACCTTCCTCTCTTTGCAGACAAGAACGTGCACATGTCGGAGGGCGTCCGTCACGCCTGGGAGGGCGTCATTCTGGGCGCCCAGGTGGTGGTCAGCCTGGCGACGCTGGCGGCCATCTACGGGGCCTTCGCCGAGCGGTACTGCCTCATCTGGTGGTACACCCTCCTCATGGCGGCCTACGCACTGCTGGGGGCGGTGTCCGACCTGGCCCGGGGCAGCTACACCGCCTGGATACTGCCGCTGGTCTGCGTCCAGCTGGCCATTGTCCTCTGCCACCACGTCGCAGTCAGCACCGCCAATCGCACAAAGTGACAGTTCTACACAGTCAAGTGGCAATAAATAGTCAGTGGGCACAGAAGCCTCGTATCTGCAGTTGCAATTGCAGTTGTCGTCGTCTATTATTGCTCTGCTCATGATCACATGACTGTCGTCTGATTTCGCTGCTGAATGGGTGATCATGTGTGTGTGATCCTGGCAGCATCACATGCCCGAACAGCAGCAGCAGCAGCGAGGTCAGGGGACGGAGGAGGAAGCGGAGAGGAGAAGAATATTCTTGGTGGTGAGGTTGTTGAGCTGGCAGAAGTGGTATAGCAGCGGGCATCCTGCCAGCTCAAGGTGGAGCGAGGAGCGGCTCCATGTCATGCGCGGGAATGGCTGCAATGGACCCGTTCCCCGAGCGCTACCGGGTGCCCCCTTCCAGTTACGCAGTTGACACTCTCTTTCCTTCCTCTTCCACCATGTGCTGCTGAGCTGGTGTACATGTACAGATCATCATCATCAGCAGCACTGTGATCACTTATTTGGCGCCCGCGCATGTTCTCTGACCTTCCTCCACTGCTCGATTCTCCATCTGACAAAGGGAAGGGAGAGAGAGCTGAAAACGAGAAGATCAGGTTGAGCAGCTGCGGTGGAGTTGATCTTTGCCTGTCCGTTTTTCGTTCACTGCTGACTGGGCGCCTTTTCTCCTGCTGCCTGTCACCGAAGATGGCGAAGAAGGAAGGTGTTGCAATGCTCTCTCTCTCTTTCTCTCTCTCTCTGCACTTGAAGAAAGAAGAAGAAGAAGAAGAGTGATTGTGGCAATCACACACAGACACAGGCCAGAACTGCGCCAGTTCAGCAAATCGAATTGAGTTTGTTGCCTTTTCCTCCTTGTCTCTCAGCCCTTGAACTTGCCTTTTTCCTTCTCGTTGTGTCCACTGTTCAGGAGGGGAGCTGGAGAGCGAGTTCACTGTCCATCAGCTGCTGCTGAAGTCGTTGTCCGACTAGTGTGCTCTTGCTCTCGGTCTCTCTCTCTCTCTCTCTTTTTGTCTTCCCACCGACTCACTTGCTGCAGCTGTTTCATTCATTTGACACCGAGCACACCACCACCACCGCCACGAGTTCATCAGCCTCACGGACAGTTAGGCAAGCAGGCTCACCCAGGCATCACTTCTTCTTTTCTGGTGCTGCACATCATCACCGCTGCTGCTGCTGCTGGGCCTCACTGCGCAAATATTTGGCCTCTTTCACTTGCAGCAGCAGTAGGCAGAGTAAATCAAAGCACATCGAGGAACCTTCAGGAGCACCTGCCAGCATCATTCACAAATTGCCTTTTAACAGTTCAGTAGCAGCAGCAGCAGCACTGCTCTTTAATTGAGTCAATCATTGGGCAATCAATTGGTGCGCTCCACTCTCCGTGCTGGCCTGGCCTGGACGGGGCCATATTCTGGGGGACTAGGAGGAGATGATGATGGTACATCATTTGCTACGAGCAGTGCTTAGCTGCATCAGCAAATGGTGCACTGCTGATTAGTACGCGTGCTTGGGGATTGGGCATTCAGTGCAATGGCAAAGTTGGGAGCAGGAAAACACGCGCTACTTTGAAGCTGCTCTTGGCTGCTGCTGCTACCAGGCACTCACAAACGAGGCAGTCATATGACACAGGCTCAGGATCGGCAGAGAGAAAGAGCATATGATGTCGGCTGGGGTGCATGTGCATGTGCTTGTGCCTGTGCCTGTGCCTGCGTTGGTGCTGATGGTAGTGCTGACTGCCAAGATATGGACAAATCGAAACACAGCCATGCACGCACATAAAAAGAAAGTTTGCTGGCCTGTCGACAACAACAACAACAGCAGCCAAGTAAGCACAGTATTTGCTCAACTCGGTTAATTGCCTCTCTCCTTATCGACAAACTCGTGAAGGAGAGAATAGCACGGACATTTCGATGATGGTGGTGGCCAGCACTACTTCTAGTATTGACATTGCACTGCACACACACAGCAAAGTGACCAAACAAAGAGAGCTGCACATCTAATCTACTGCCCAAGTAAATGCTGGCTAACATGTGCTTTCTCCGTAATCTCTCACGTACCTGATCACTCCTGATGTCCTGGTGGTGCTGGTGCTAATGCCACCTGAGCACAGCGGTGATTGTGCAAGTAGCAGTGCGATGCACCAGCACCGATCATCGGCACTGCCACCAGCACCAGCACTAGCACTGGCCACTGCCCCCCCTTCCTGCGATCAGTGAAGCGAGCAAACTTGCGCACATTTGCTGGTGATTGCCAATCAGCAGCAACGACGGCGAACAATAGTCCCCTCACACATTAGCAGGCTGCATTCGTGATTCTCTAGCAAAGGGAAGCACCAGCACCACCGCCGATCATCATCACCTCCACCTCGGTGGCCAGCACTCTCTTCCATTGGAGAAGGAGGAGAACTCTGCTCAGCTGTGCTCGCTCTCTCTCTGCTACGACTGCATCGTGGCTTTGTTATGGTCTTCCCTTCCACCACCACCACCATCAGCCTGTCAGCCTGTCAGTTCACCTCGCAGTTGTCCTCTTCTCTCTCTCTTGGCTCGTTTCCATGCGCGTCTGTTTGTGTTGGTGGTGGTCGTCGTCGTCGTAGTCGTGCACTTCCACTTCTCTCTCTCTCTCTCTCCACCGACTGCCACACAGTATTTCTGACTGCTGGCAAGCACGGACACGGATACACACAGAGACACTCACAGTCTTCTCGTTCTCTCTTTCTCTCTCTCCTTCTCACTACGTTTCTTCTTTCAAGCACTTCTTCTTCTTCTACTTCTACACTTGAGTTGCTGAAGCTGTACTGCGTACTGCGACTTGCAGCGCACACAATGGCCACACTTTTCTGCTTCTGATCCAAGACACTCTTCTACATTTTCTGCCAAAGTTGAATTATTGTCTGCGTGCGCCTCGTATCAATCCCAATCCAATCGACACAGTGTGGCAAAGGAGTGCAATCAGCATCACGACACACTACCACCAATCAGCACACTATCATCAGCTGCGATAATAATTGTGACCAAGTGAAAAAAACATCCAAAGGAAGGCAATAGTTGTTGTTGTGTTGGTGTCGATGTTGTTGTACAGCAGCAGCAGCTTCATGATTAAATGTGCTGTCTACCAGTGGCCTGCGCCGAGGAGGAGACGGGCTGACAATCAAATGTGTCTTCAGTGTGTCTCTGCATCCCATCACCAGATTATCACCAGCTGTTGATCGGCAGCCCTTCTTGTTTACAACTCGCTGTTCCGTCTTTCTCCATCTCCGTCGTCTCAGTCAGTGCGCACTTGCCACCACTTCTTCTCAAGTTGATTTCCACTGGTCACAACAATTTCTTTTCTCCCCCTCTCCCTACTGGCAATCTTTTCTGGACTTTAAACGTGCCCTGTGAAGTAAGTTTTGTTGTTGTTCTGATCTCCTGTTTTTCCTCAGCCTAACACCGTTGTTCCTCTTTAGTGAATCAGCACGCAGACACAGTAGAAGCAGGACCAGCAGCAGCCTCTCTTTCCACCTCCTCCTCCGCCCTGTCTGCCCTCCTTCTCGGCAGCCTCTCCTCGGCACTCGGCACCCTCCGAAAGGCACTCTTCTCCGGCGGACTGCAACTGCTGCACCTGGCAGAGCACCAGAGAAACCAGGACGATCCAGAGCTGGCCATTGTTTTTCGCTGCAGCAGCATTAAACGCGAGCACTTTTGCTGCAGCAGCATTAAACGCGAGCACTTTCGCTGCAGCAGTTTTAAACGCGAGCACTTTTGCTGCAGCAATTTTAAACGCGAGCACTTTTGCTGCAGCACTCGTCATTGAATTGAACGGCAGCAGCAGCAACAACGGCAGCAGCAACTGGCGGAACAGGAACAGGAGCTGGCGGAGCAGAATCTAAACGACTTTGCTGGCGCTGCCACCCTCAACCACCACCACAACCACCACCGCCACCACCACTCCTCCTCCTCCTCCTCCTCCTCCTCCTCCAAATCGTCGTCTTCCCCTCCGAAGCAAAAGATGGTGAAGACCTTTCAGGCGTACCTGCCCAACTGCCACCGCACCTACAGCTGCGTCCACTGCCGCGCTCATCTGGCCAACCACGATGAGCTCATCTCCAAGTCATTTCAGGGCAGCCAGGGAAGGGCCTACCTCTTTAACTCGGTGTAAGTGTGTGTCCTTTCATTAGCCTTATTTCTCTTCAATAACATCTCACACTCTCTTTCCGCCAGTGTCAACGTCGGTTGTGGCACCGCCGAGGAGCGAGTTCTCCTCACGGGACTGCACGCAGTGGCGGACATTTTCTGCGAGTGCTGCAAGACTACCCTCGGCTGGAAATACGTAAGCGCCCTGCCGTATTCTCCGAGTAATCATTGGCCAAAAATAACTCTCCTTTCCCCAACAGGAGCATGCCTTTGAGAACAGTCAGAAGTACAAGGAGGGCAAGTACATTATCGAGCTGGCGCACATGATCAAGGACAACGGCTGGGAGGACGATCCAAAGGACGAGGAGAAGCGACGCTAACAGCCAACGCTGAACCGGATACTCTAACTCCCCTTGTACGACAAATACGAATACAAAGATGTTGCTGCTGAATGAATGAATGAATCAGACGACACAGAACTGTACCTTTTATTGATGTGATATAACTTTCTCTCCTCTCCTCATGCCCCATTCTTTCCTTTCTCGTGCACTCTATCTCTCTCTCTCTCTCTCTCTCCTTATCATTTTTTTACCCTCCCTCCCTTTGGTGGTAACAGTCACCATCCGCCTACATCCTCTCTTTCTTCTTCCCTTGGTTTTTCTTATTCTGTACACACATACACACACATGAACACTATCGATCTCTAAACACACCGTCTCTCAGTGAACTAATATTCAAAGAATCAAACCGAAATCAGAGTTGTTTCAGTCTCATCAGGTTGTCATTGCGCGGAACATGTTTTTCCCCCATTTGATGTCTATTCCTACACTAAATCAATTAATCAGCCAATGTAGTGCACACACACACCCAGTGACACTGATAACTTTTTTCTAATAAAATCTTTTAAAACCTCAATTCTGCACTTTCTAGCTGTCCACAAGAACATTGGACAGGAAAGAAGTTTAATTTTAAAAAGTTTCCGTGCATTTCCAAAAGAAAAGTTTCCAGCAGCAAAGTTAGTTTGGTTTTGGACGATCTGGCCGAGGGGTCCGAGATCTCGGGAACGGCTGAAGTTACAAAGCTGACACTCCTAGCGTTTACTAAGCTATTTTTTCTGATTCATTTGGC